TAAATGTTGTCTAGCAAAGCCTTCAACAAGATTCCGCATGGTAGACTGGTTAGTAAGGTTAGATCAAATGGGTTCCAGGGAGAGCTAGCCAATTGGATGCAAAATTGGCTTGATGAGAGGTGACAGAAGGTGGTGGTAGAGGGCCGTTGTTCAGAACTGGAGGCCTGAGACCAGCAGTGTGCCGCAAGGATCAGTGCTGGGTCCACTGTGTTTGTCATTTATATAAGGGATTTGGATGAAAATATAGGAGACATGGTTAGTAAGTTTGTGGATAACAGCAAAATTGCTGGTGGACAGTGAAGAAGGTTATCTAAGGTTGCAACAGGATCTTGATCAACTGGGCCAGTGGGTCAAGGAATGGCAGATGGAATTTAATGGAGATAAGTGCAAGGTATTTCATTTTGGTAAGGCAAACCAGGGCAGGATTTACACAGTTCATGGTAGGCCCATGGGGAGTGCTGTCAAACAGAGACCTAGGGGTGTAGGAACATAATTCCTTGAAGGTGTAGTCACAGGTAGACAGGGTCATGATGAAGGCATTTGGCACACTTGCCTTTATCAATCAGAGCATTGAGTACAGGAGTTGAGATGTCATGTTACGGCTGTTCGAGATATTGGTAAGGTCACATTTGGAGTACTGTGTACAATTCAAGTTGCCCTCCTATAGGAAGGCTGTTATTAAATTGGAAAGAGTACAAAAAAGATTTACAAGGTTGTTACCAAGATTGGAGTGTCTAGGTTATAAGGAGAGGCTGGGACCTCTGTCCCTGGAGCGTAGGATGCTGAGGGCTGACATTATAGAGGTGTATAAGGTCATGAGGGGTGTTGGTAGGGTGAGTGGCCAAGGTCTTTTCCCCAGGGTAGAGGAGTCCAAAGCTAGAGAGCATTGGTTTAAGGTGAGGGGGAGAAAGGTTTAAAAGGGACCTGAGGGGCAATTTTTTCACACAGAAAGTGGTGCATGTATGGAACGAGCTGCCAGAGGAAGTGGTTGAGGTGGGTACAATTACAACATTTAAAAGACATTTGGTGGACTGGTACATGGATAGGAAAGGTTTAGAGGGTTAAAGGCAAAAGGATGGCAAATGGGACTAGTTCAGTTTAGGAAACCTGGTCGGCATGAACAAGTTGGGCCGAAAGGTCTGTTTCTATGCTGTTGAGCTGGCCATGGAGAGATAAAGGGGGTGGGTGGGGGATTTCATGTTTTAAGAAAACTGTACCAAAGTATATTACACAACTATTTTAAGTATGCAGTACAGATACTTTCAGTATATCAGACAGGTACATTAAGTTAAGTGTAGCATACAGCTGCATTAATTATATGAAACATAGTATACCATGCAGATATATTATATTCAGGAGATCATATTGTTATATTCATTACATCAGACAGGTACATTGTGTTAAGAATAATCATGCAGTTATGTGAAGTGTTCATGAATATGTATTGCAGATAGCGTTTGCTGGGCCGAGGTAGCTAATGTAAACTCCTGGCAAATGATTAATTTTTGGGGAAGTCGTGTTATCTGGCTGACTGTACGTGGAGGTTATTAAGTGGGAGAGGGAGCTGAGATCTGCAGCAAACCAGTCACTTCTTAGAACCTTTAGATGAAAAGTGAGTGGAAACTTGGCAGTGGGTGGGAACATCAAGATTTTTAAGAACAGGAAATGGTTGTTAGGCCTCAACAAAGCTGTCACAGACCTCTGCTGTGGAGACACTTCACACATTATGCTCAAGCCCGTCTCTTTCCAAAGAAGCATGTTTAATTACTCCTCCGACCCATTTATTTCCTTCACTTCAGTGGCCTTTTCTGCTACCTTCTTGTCTGCTTCTGTGACCCTTTGGCTCTGAATGCGTTTCACTTCCAAACTCCTAAAGTTTTAACTCCTAAACATGTAACTCAGTATCCGTGTGGCTTTCTGCAGTGAATCATTTGTCTGGATTGACTTTGATCTTGGCAAATTGCCCCAGTTTCAATTAGGATACCTCAAAGTCTCCCCACTTCTAGGGAAAGCACGCAGCAAGTACTTGGGTTTAACATTGTGTAAAAACTTTCCTAAATCGTTAGCATTACAGACACACTAATGATTTATTACCGAAGAGAAAATGGTCCCAGTCCATGAATAAAAGAAAAACAAGAGTCCTTTTATATTTAATAGGAAGAGATACAAGTTGGCGTTGTTGACCAGGGCTAAAGGCATGAGCAGCCTTTTTAACTAAAAGTGGTTTCTTTTAAAAGCTATTTAATGACAATAGCTTAGTAGAGAAATGTCTGAAAGAAGGAAAAGGGTGGTCAGGATGCCAAGCACGAAGAGGCATTTTTTTTAATCTATTGCCTTCAGTTCTTGGTCCAGTCTTTCCACTGAGCTTGGGAAGTATTAAATATCGGGGCCTTCAGAGCCCCCTTTCTGGTCACTGCTTCATTTCACGGCATTTCACTGTGCCCTTTCTCTCGGGGCATCTTAGCTCTCCTGATGTTCTCTATTTGTCCCTGCCTGGATAGCACCAATAAAGCTGACTTCCGAGGGGACTTGCAGAAGATTTAGAGGCTCTTTATAATCCGATGTATTGCAGCGGATGTCTTTTTTTAAAAAAATTGTTACAACTGGGCTACGAGGGTTCATTTCCTCAGGCCGACTCTCTCTGAACAGAACAGAGTTTGGATTTTAAAAAAAGGTGATACTTATTGTCAATTATATAAATATCAGATCGTGCCTAGCTCAGTATCGGAAAATGCAGACAGATTCCTTTATGAACACATGAAAGAGCAAATTTATTACAAATAGAAATTTCTCAAGTGAAGATGCATAGATTTTTAACTAATGGTGCAAACAACTATACAGTTTTTGTTACAACAAGGTGCAGGGCTGGATGAACACAGCAGGCCAAGCAGCATCATAGGAGCAGAGAGGCTGACGTTTCGGGCCTAGACCCTTCATCAGAAAAGGGGGAGGGGAAGGGGGTTTTGAAATAAATAGGGAGAGAGTGGGAGGCGGATAGAAGAGAGGAAACAAACAGGTCGAAGATGGAGCCAGGAAAGGTGAGTGTAGGTAGGGAATAGGTCAGTCCAGGGAGGACGGACAGGATGAGGTTGGTAGGTAGGAGATGGAGGTGCGAGTTTTTTTAAACAATTGGCAGTGGTGGGACTCGAACCCACGCCTCCTCAGAGACTGGAGCCTTAATCCAGCGCCTTAGACCGCTCAGCCACACTACCTGACAGTTTTTGTTTATTTGTTCATGGGACATAAGTGTTGCTGATGAGCCCTAACTGCCCTTAAGAAGATGCTGGGTAGCTGCCTTCCTGAACCACTGCAGTCTATTTGATATAGATACCCCTAAGGTGCTATTAGGGAAGGAATTCAGGTTCTTTACCAGGGGACAGTGAAGGAACAGTGATATATTTATGTTAGGATAATGAGTGGCTTGGAAGGGAATTTGCAGGTGACGGTGTACCCATGTATCTGCTGCCTTTGTTCTTCAGATGATTGATTCATTGTCACATGTACTGAAGTACAGTGAAAAACTTTGTTTAGGAGCAGTACAGGCAGATCATAGTAAGCAAGAACAAGCAGATCAAAAAGACTTAGACAGAGGCATACATGTTACATTGCACAGGGCGTGCGCTAGGCGAGATCAACATTAGCAAGATCAGCATTGTTTGAGGCTACAGAGTCCTTTCAACAGTCTGATAACAGCTGCCCGTGCGTGTGTTCAACTTTCTGTATCTTCTGCCCAATAGAAGAGGATGTAAAAGATCATTACCAGGGTGTGATGGGTCTTTGATGATGTTGGCCGCCTTTCTGCGACAGCGAGCCATGTAAATAGAGCCCAAGGATGGGGAGTTGGCTTCCGTGATGGTCTGGACTGTGCACACAACCTTCTGTAGTTTCTTACGGTCCTGGGCAGAGCAGTTGCCGTACCAGGCCGTTACGCACCTGGACAGTATGCTTTCAATGGTGCATCTGTAGAAGTTGGTGAGGGTCCTTCTGGACATGCCAAATTTCCTGAGCCGCCTGAGGAAGAAGAGGTGTGTTTGTGCCTTCCTGACTGTCGTTTCTACATGGGAAGTCCAGGACAGGTCGTCGGTTCTTGTCACTCCAAGGAACTTGATGCTGTCCATCCTCTCAACATCAGTTCCGTTGATGTATACGGGGATGTGCTCTTCTCCCATCTTTCTGAAGTCAATGGCCAGTTGAGAGAGTGGATGTTCTCATCACACCACCTCACCAAGCCCTTCTGTAGTGTGACTCATCGTTATTAGATATCTGTCCTGGGTGGTAGTGGTCTGGGCATGGAAAGTACCATCTCAGGCAACTTGCTGAATTTCAGGGCAGTGCATCTTGTAGATGGTGCACACTGCAACCACAGCGTCATTGGTGGAGAGAATGGATGTTTGTGGATGTGGCGTCAACCAAGCTGAATGGTGTCAGGCTTCTTGAGTGTTGTTGGAGCTCCACTTATCCAGGCAAGTGGGGAGTATTCCATCACACTCTGACTTGTGCCTTATACATGGACAAGCTTTGAAGAGTCAGGAGGTGAGTTACTTGCTGCAGGATTCCTAGCCTCTGACCTACTGTTATTTACAGTTGAATTTCTGGTCAATGGTTAAACCCCAGGATGCTGATGTTGGGGGATTCACTATTGGTAATGCCATTGAATGTCAAGTTAGATAGATTCCCTCTCATTGGGGTGATCATTCCCTGGCATTTGTGTGGTACGAGTGATCAAAGAAAGTGATGTCGGTAGTTTTGTTAATGCCCACGTGATATGTCTCCTTGGATATTGCTGATTGATGTATGCCTAGAATTGAATTCCTGAAGATTCTAGAAATGTTAGCAGCGCTAACTGTTATGTGGTAAATTTGGTGAGGAATCAGCACATTGTGTAAAATGAATGTGGTGTTTTATTAAAATGTCTTAAAAAGGTGAAAGAGAAGGCCATCCTTCAAAGGTCAACAGGAGTGTTTTTGTACTGTTATTCTCCACTATTTTTCGCCCAATAGGTGAAGGTCATGTTGCGGATCTGCTCAGCATCAGTTGGGGACACGTCAGAATCCAGCTGCTTCTTTAAAGTCGACCCCCGCAAAAAGCAGATCACACTGTACGACCCACCGGTGAATGGGCTCCAGAACTCTTCACAGAAGAGAGGGGGCCTGGTGCCACCAAAGATGTTTGCTTTCGACGCTGTCTTCCCACAAGATACATCGCAGGTCAGTCACAATCTTCTGTAACCATTAGGGTGTAAATACCACAGTAGCCTCGACAGCCCATTCCAAGTATGAGACAATTAACTGTATCTTCTGAAGTCTTAGATCGTTGAATGTTTATTATACTGCACATCAAGGTCTCTGAAACTTGGCTAGGTATTTCTTTTGTCTGTTTCTTTAGAGAGAGAGTAGACCATTTAGTGGCTCCCTCCTGAGACTATTCCTCGACCTTGATCAGATGGTCTAATGGGCTGAGGAGTGACAGATGGAATTTAATTTATATAAATGTGAGGTGCTGCATTTTGTTAAGGCACATCAGGGCAGGACTTATACACTTAAAGGTAGAGCCCTGGGGCATATTCCTGAACAAAGGGATATAGGTTCATTGTTCCTTAAAAATTGAGTCACGGGTATACAGGGTGGTGAAGAAGGCGTTTGGCACACTTGCCTTCTTTGGTCAATGCACTGAGTATAGAAGTTGGCATGTCATTGTTGCAGCTGTACAGGACATTGGTTAGGCCACTTTTGGAACACGACATTCAATTCTGCCCTACCCTGCTATAGGAAAAATGTTGTTAAATATGCAAGGTTTCAGGAAAGATTTACAAAGGTGTTGCTGGGATTGGAGGGTTTGAGCCATAGGGAGAGGTTGATTAGGCTGGGGCTATTTTCCCTGGAGGGTAGGAAGCTGGGGAGTGACATTATAGAGGCTAATAAAATCATGAGGAGCATAAATAAGGTGAATATCCAAGGTCTTTTTCTCAGGGTTGGGGAGTCCAAAACCAGAGGGCACAGGTTTAAGGTGAGAGGGGAAAGATATAAAAGGGACCTGAAGGGTAACTTTTTCACACAGAGGGTGGTGTATGTATGGAATGAGCTGCCAGAGGAAGTATTGGAGGCTGGTACAATTACAACATTTAAAAGGCACTGAATGGGTATATGAATAGGAAGGGTTTAGAGGGATATGGGCCAAATGCCAGCAAATGAGACTAGATCTGTTTAAGATATCTGGTCAGTAGAGAAGAGTTGGGCCAAAGGGTCTGTTTCATTGTTGTGTAACTCGATGACCCTCTGACACTGTTCAATGAGATCATGCCTAATTTGTGCCTTAGCTCCATCCACTGGTCTCAGCTCCTTTACAAGACCAAGAACAATAGGAGCAGGAGTGGATTACACACTCTGTCAGGCATACTGCACCATCAGTAACATCATGATTTATCCTCTGGGGTCAACTCCACTATCCCACCTTTCTCCTCATCCCTAATTCCTTCAGTGTTGGGAAAACTAATAATTTTCAATCTTGAATTTGCTCAACACCTGAGCCCTTGAAGAGCAAAAACCTATCGATGTCCGATTTTAGATGGTAGGGATTACAGAGTTGTTAGATGGAGACCATTTGGCCCATCTGTAAATGAATGTCTCACTTTGGGCCATCCCACACCACCATCACTCTGTGATCCTGCACATTCTTCCCCTTCAGATAAACATTTAGAACCCTTTTCAATGGCTCAGTTGAACACAGCTTGCCTACACTACACTCCCCATCAGTGCATTCAAGACCTTAGCTATTCACTCTGATTTTGTTTGCCTCATGCGACTCATCCATTTTTTGCCAATGATTTTAATCATTGATTTAATGATTGATTGATTTAATCAATGATTTAATGATTTTTAAACACTATCTCATTCTCAATCCATTTTACAAGTGGGAACAGTTTCTCCCCATCTACTCTGCCCATACTCCTCCTGATTTTGAATACCTCTGTCCAATCACCTCTTGACCTTCTCCAAGAAATCCAGACCCTACTTTTCAGGTGGCACAGTGGTTAGCACTGCTGCCTCACAGTGCCAGGAACCTGGGTTCAATCCCAGCCTCAGGTAATTGTCCATGTGTACATTCTCCCCGTGTCTGTGTGGGTTTCTTCCGGGTGCTTGGGTTTCCTCCCACAGTCCAAAGGATAATCACAGAAACCGTACTGTGCAAAAAGAGGCTATTCAGCCCATCAGGTCTGTAATGACTGTCTAAAGAGCATCCCAGTGGATTAGCCACAGTAAATGTGTGGTTGTGGGAGGCAGTAGGTTTGGGTGGGATGCTCTTTAGACAGTCATTACAGACCTGATGGGCTGAATAACCTCTTTTTGCACAGTAGGGTTTCTGTGATTATCCAACCTATCTTCATAATTGAAGTTTCTCTTCCCTGGAATTATTTTCATGAATCTTTTCTGCACTTTCTCCAATGCCTTTGCATCCTTCCTAAAATGCAGTGCACAGAACTGGACACAGCTGAGACCAAACTAATGCTACGCAGTTTTGAACAAATTCCTTGGTCTTGAACTCTTTGCCCCTATTAATAAGGCTCAGGGTACTGCATGCTTTAATTTCAGCTCTCTCAATCTGCCTGCCACCTTTAACAACTTATGCACGCATTCATCCTGGTCTCTCTACTCCTGCACCCCTTTTAGAATTGCGGTCTTTATTTTATGCTGTTTCTTCATGTTCTTCCTTCCAAAATCAATTGCTTCACATTTCTCCGTATTGAACCTCACCCGCCAACTCCACCAACTTGTAAATGACCTTTTGAAGTTCTGCACTGTTCTCACAGTTCACAATGTTTCTAACTTTGGTGTCAGGTGTAAACTTTGAAGTTGTGCTCAATATCCCAAGGTCTAGATGGTTAACATACATCAGGAAAAACAAGGGTCCCATTGCCCATTTCTAGTACACACCTTCCACCACCCCGAAAAACATCCATTAACCATTACTCTCTCTTTGCTACCACTCAACCAATTTTGTATCCATGTTTGATTTTTCTCACAAGTCTGTTGTGTCCATGTACTTGCCTTTGTCAACCCCTGTGGTTACTTCATCAGAAAATTCCAGCAGGTCACTTAAAAGCGTGATTTTCACTCAAGAAATCCTTGCTAGCTCTCCTTGATTCATCAGTGTTTGTGCTATTTCTTGTTTCTAGAGATTTTTACATGACCAAAGTTAAGCTGATTGGCCTCAAGTTGCTTGAATTATCCTTACATCCCTTTCTAAGCAAGGTTGTGCCCCTTGCCAATTCTCCAGTGTGTGCGGGCTTCACCCCTGAGTCTGTGGGAGATTGGAACATTATGGCCAGCATCTCTACAATCTCCAACTCTCACTCCCTTCAGTGTCCTTGGATGCACCATCCTGCACCACACATTCGGGTTACCATGTGTTTGCTTTGCTGTTTGTATTTGACCTTGATCTGGGCCCGTTGTTACAGAAATCCCAAAATGAGCATAGATTTTAAGGGATTCTTGAGAATTAAAGAGGGAGAAGGGTACAGTATAGATCAGTGGGCTGAATGTCCTGTGTCTGTGCTCTATGTTCTGTATAACTGCTCCATGTTTTATTTTCCACAAAAGGCTGAGGTGTGTGCAGGAACGGTAGCAGAGGTTATCCAGTCGGTGGTGAATGGTGCTGATGGCTGTGTGTTCTGTTTCGGACATACCAAGTTGGGTGAGTAACAGGTCATGGTTCTGGCAGGTTATCTGACTTTGGGAAGTGTAAGCCTGTCAATGGTGTCTCTCCCACTGAGCTGAAACGAGGAGCCACTCCCACCCCAACACCACTCCAACCTCACCCCCATCTCACCCCCCACTCCCACCCCAACCCCACTCCCACCTCACGCCCACCCCACCCCCACTCCCACCCCACCACGCACACACCACCCCCACCTTACCCCCACCCCACCCCCATTCCACCCTGACCCCACACCTACCTCATACCCACTCTCTCCCAACTCACCACATACACCACCCCGACCTTACCCCAACCTACGCCCCTATTCCACCCTGACCCCACACCTATCCCACCCCCACTCCCACCCCACCACACACACCATCCCCACCTTACCCCAACCCACGCCCCATCCAACCCCACCCTACTCTTATCTCACCCCTACTTCCACTCCACTCCCACCCGACCCCCCCACTCCCACCAACCCGACACATCACCCTCACCCCACATCACTTCACCCCTCCTCACCCGCATCCCACCCCCATCCCACCCCATTCCTCCCACCTGATTCACTGCTATCGTTACTCTATCTGTCCTGCCTCTGACTGCAGACCCACAGCAATGTAGTTGACTCTTAACGGCCTCTGAAATGCCCCAGTAAGCCACTCAGTTCAAGGACAATTATGGATGGGCATAAAGTGCTGGACTTGACAGTGATGGCCATATTAGATGAAAAAAATACAGGGAAAAGAGCTGGAAGTAACTGAAATTGGCTCAGAGGCAGTTATTAGTTTGCAGGATTTCAAAACATGTGAAGGTTATGCTGGAGAAGTTATCCCAATGTTGAAGGATATTCTCCACGCTCCTCAACCTGCCATGAGCCATTTACCACATTCTGTAATTTAGCTGAATATTGAAGACTCAAAATGTAGTGATGGTTAAACTCAGAGAGAATATCATGGACCTTGTGCACCAAGTGCTTGAAATTCTGTCTGCCAGAAGCATATGGCACAAGTCAGTCATTTGAAATACAAGCAAAATTCTGCGGATGCTGGAAATTTGAAATAAACACAGAGAATGCCAGAAAAGCACAGCAGATCTGGCAGCATTTGTAGAAAGAGAAATAGAGCTAATGCTTTGAGTCCAATAGGACTTCTTTTTTGTGAGAGTGATTTGAAAGTCAAGGCTGAGCAATGAGGGAAAATTTCACTTCTTTCTTCTTTAAGCCACTGTGTTGGGATGTGATCTGTGCAGAGTTTAAATCTGATTCAGAAACTGTTGCTGTGACCTCAATCTATGAACTTTATCTGATGTGACAGGAAAGTCATACACCATGATTGGAAAGGACGATTCCATGCAGAATCTTGGTATCATCCCTTGTGCCATCTCCTGGCTCTTCAAACTGATTAATGAGAGGAAAGAAAAGACAGGAGCGCGTTTCTCAGTCAGAGTCTCTGCCGTGGAAGTCTGGGGGAAGGAGGAAAACCTGAAAGATCTACTGTCCGAGGTAGCGACAGGCAGCCTGCAAGACGGCCAGTCCCCTGGAGTCTATCTCTGCGAGGACCCAATCTGTGGCATGCAGGTAATATACTTTTTTTATGAGGATAAACTTTGTGAGCTTGGCTGTTGGTGCCATCCCTAAATTTGCTCGGAGGCCCCAAGTCTTTATCTATGTAGCCTGTCTGTTCTATAAACCTCTTCTCCTCTCATGAAATTGGAGAGTTGGGTCTTCTTCATGTGGGGGCCTGGATGAGCGTCTTGGATGGGTCTTGCAGCCCAGGCCTGAACTCAAGCCCACACAGGCCTCAATTGCCACCCAACATGTCCCAAAGCCCAATCTTCGAATTGGTTGGCGGTAATGCTTTACTCACACTGCAAGAGAGGGCAGGTTCGATTGCACAACATTTCCAGCCTAAACTGGCCACTTGGCCCACATAACCCATGTCGGTGTTTGTGCTCCACAGACGTTTCCTCTCATCCTTCTTCACAACTTTTATCAACCCGTGCTATTTCTTTCTCCCTCCAGTGCTTTCCTGGTCTACCCAATTGATGCTTTTCAGCTAGCACCTGGCTGGATGTTCACGGTGAAACAGAGACTCACCGTATTCGGGCTATTTTCTGAGGCGTCATTCCCATCTCCTGTATAGAGCATAGGGGCTTTCTTTTAACTCTGGAATTTCCTCTTTAAACCTCATGTCTCCTTGTAGGATGCTCCTTAAAACCTGACTTGCGTACCAAGCGTTGAGTCTCTTGTCCTAATGGTGTATTATATTGGATGGGGTGTGGAATTGTGTTTGGAGGGCACCATCGCGTCACGGAGAGCCTTGACCACGTTAAGTGTACTCTACAAATGTGCATTTCTCTTTTGTTGGCTGCGGATTAATGCTGGTTTCCGTCCTGCCACTGTGTGTGTTCGCCTGTGTTTGTTTTCTCTCTCTCGGCAGCTCCAGAACCAGAGCGAGCTCCGTGCCCCCACAGCGGACAAAGCTGCCTTCTTTTTGGACGCTGCCATCGCTGCGAGGCGGTGCAGCCGGCCTGAGTGCGACGAGGAGGACCAGAGGAACTCCCACATGCTGTTCACGCTGCACATCTACCAGTACCGCATGGAGAAGAGCAGCAAGGGGGGAAGTAAGCTCCCTTTGATCGTCGTGCAGGCTGTGGCCCTCGATTAGTTCTGACAAAGTGTTGGCACTTCCCCACGATGCAGTTCCCCAACCCACAGCCTTTGCCTGAGTAACACTGTGGGAACACTGAGTAACAACGTGGGAGCACTGAGTAACAATGTGGGAACGTAGGTGGGGGCACAGAGTAACACTGTGCTCGCTGGCTGGAAGATGAGTGGGATGCCCTCTGAAGGTGGCACTACCCAATAGTGGGGAACCAGTGTCCCAGTGGTGCAGTTGAATTTTCAAGATGAGGGGCAGGGAGTCAGAAACCTGCTCTCCTCCAGCACGTGGCCTGTTAGTGTCTTTGAGGAGCTAGCCCCTTGAGGAATTTGGCTAGTGGGTGATTTTCTACCTGTGAGGTACCAATCCTCAACAGCCTCATGTGCGAAGTTGGCTGGCTCGAGTGGAGTTTTTTTATTAATACACCAAACTCGGCTCTCTTGGTGTTAGATTCATTTATTTATCTTTCACTTGGCTTTCATGCACCCACTCCCAAAGCCTAGGCCCAAGACGAATTTAAATCTTAGCTTCAAAACCTTCGGAATCTTCCCTGCTGGGTTAGTTCAGTGGACCATCACAGAATGATATCAATTCATGTGACTTCCTACAGAGTCAGGTGTACCTCAACGGCCTAAAAACAGGCCCTGCATAAAGCGACCGTAGACAAAAATAGACCAGCAGCAACAGGAGGCCATCCGGCCCTTCAAGCCTGTGCTAGTATTCCACTAGATTGTGGGTGATCTGTAAACTACTTCACTTTCTTGTCTATTCTCTCAATAGCTTTATACTGTCACCCTGCTCAAAGATATTGACTCCATTCGTGAGAATTTCCCACAGTATTACTCTGTGTTCCCATATTGTTACTCAGTGTTCCATGATGTTACCCAGTGATCTACAGTGTTACTCAGTGCTGCCAGTGTTACTCAGTGCTCCATGATGTTACTCTGTGATCCTATGGTGTTAGTCAGTACTGCCAGTGTTACTCAGTACTCCATGATGTTACCCAGTGATCCTACGGTGTTACTCAGTACTGCCAGTGTTACTCAGTGCTCGCAAGCTATTACTGTATGCTCCCACAGTGTTATTCAGTGCTCCCACAGTGTTACTCACTGCTCCCACAGTGTTACCCTGTAGTCTCACAGTGTTACTCAGCACTCCCACAGTGTTACTCTGTGCCCCCACATTATTACTGTGTGGTCCCATGGTGTTACTCTGTTCTCCCACGGTGTAACTCAATTCTCCAACAGTGTTACTCAGTGCTCCCACATTGTTACTCAGTGCTCCCACAGCATTACTCAGTGCTCTCATTACTGTTACCTGGTGCTCCCACAGTGTTACTCAATGCTCCAGGCTATTATTCTGTGATCCCTCACTATTACCTGGTAATACCTCCCTGGTATTTAGTGAAGCCTTTCTGTTAATGAGCGTTTGGTTACCTTGTTCTCATGCTTATACTTACTGATCTTTTACTGTTGGCCTGATCCCTCAATGTTTCTCAGAGATCCACCATTGTTGCTCAGTGATCCTTTGCCGTTACTCACCAATTCCTCAGTGTGGCCTGGTGATCCCCCAGTGTTACTCTCTGATCCTTCACTGTTACTATCTCATCACTGACATTTACTGGGTGAAACTTCACTGTTTTCAGTGACCCCTCAGTGTTACTCTTTGACCCCACAGTGTTACTGTCAGACCCCTTACAGGTACTCAGTGATCCTTGCATGGAGTAGCTGTAGATTTCAGGGGACACTTGGCCATAGATGCCACATGAAGAATAATCCTCCTGGACAATGTGCTCAAGAGCTGTCAGGACACAGAGTGTAAACAAGACTAAACGTTCCTGTCCTGAAGCAGTTTTGAGCTGTGACCTCACTCAGGAATTGGCTCAGGCCTGTTTCACCCTGTTTAGAATCCCCTTGAACCCTAGACCTAAGGTCAGGGTGATGAACTCACTGCTGAGTAGCTGGATTAACATTACTGTCCCTGTTTATTTGGAGCCAGCTGTCTCAGTAAGGAATGGAGACACTGACATTTCTGTCCTGGGAGAAAGCCAAGAGGAGATCACATCGAGGTTCAAAAATCACGATAGGTCTGGACAGAGTAGAAATGAAGAAACTATTCCTGTTGTTGGAGGGATCAAGAGACAGAGGGCACAGAGTTAAGGCAAAAGGGCTAAAGGTCAACCTTTTCCATACAGCTAGTGCTTAGGGTTGAGAATACTTGATCTGAAGCGTGGTGGAGGCACCTTCAGTCTTCCCTTTCGAAAGGACATTGGATAAGCACCTGAAGGGAAAACGTCTGCAGGGCTCCAGCAAAAGGACAAGTGAGTGGGACTAGCTGAGTTATCCTTGGTGACAGCTAGTATACGCCAGGCATGCTGAGTGGCCTCTTTGTGCGCTGTAGCCAATTGATAATCATTCCATAACATTGGTAAAAGATCTGGAGGAGGTGTGCAAAAGGTAGCTAACCTGTTATCACCCAGTTTAGGACATTGCATAAAACTACATCTCTCCTAGGTGCCCTGTAGGAGGACTTCCAGCAGCATTCCATGATACCTAGACTTCAGGGGTTAACTTGTGAGGAAGTAATACTCAAATTAGGCCTTTTTCTCTAGAATTTAAAAGGTTTGAAGGGTGATCAGATCGAAGGCCTCAAGATATGAAGAGAAAAAAGACAGGGTAGATAAAAATAAACTATTTCCACTGGTTTGGGATTCTAGAATTAGGGGTCATTGTCTGAGGATTCGAGCCACACCATTCAGGAGAGATGCTAGGAAGCAGTTTTACACACAAAGGGTGGTAGATGTTTTGGAATTCTCATTCACAAACGGCAGAGAATGCAGGATCAGTTGTAATGTTAAATCTACAATAGATAATTTTTTGTTAAACAAAGATATTAAGAGGTATGGGCCAAAGGCAGCTTTATAGGGTTAGGTCACAGATCAGCCATGATAGCATTGAATGGCAGAACAGGCTCAAGGGGCTGAATGGCCTACTCCTGTTCCTATATTCCTTTGTCCTATGTTCACAGCTTTCTGTCACTTGCCGTCCCTATCTATTTTAATGCTGTTGAGCTGATTCATTTGTCTGTAGCCAGTGTCATTGAGGCTGACTTTAGCACTCTTATTGATTTTAGACCAATGAGATCGCACAGTGCGAAGCTGCTGATTGGATCATTGTTATGTTTATGCCAAAGCCCCCACCCCAACCCGTTTCCAGTTGTAGCAATGGTTCAGAGAGTGAACGAGAGGGGTTTTACTTCAGGTTATTAACATTGACAGAATCACTTCGATCATCAGTGCAGTTGTGCAAGATGGGCCTGAGAGACGTTTTAGTTGGCAATCATTGGAATATTGAAAGCAGGACTGTACAAACAGCACTGGCTTGTTTGGGAAGAGCTCTATAAAGGAAGGGCTGTGCATTTCAGGATACATTAACTCCACTGTCCCCTGAAAGACTGCAGGCTGGTAACAGGGTGAAACGTCTGATCAGCATTCAAGGGGTTTAAACAGGCGCCACTCTTTCAGGCGGGTTTTAATAGCCATTGACTGATTTTATCCTCTTCTGTTGACAGTGTCAGGAGGTCGCAGCCGCTTACACCTCATTGACTTGGGCAGTTGTGTAAAAGTGCTGAGCAAAAGCCGCGAGGGGGGCTCAGGGCTCTGCCTGTCCCTGTCTGCACTGGGGAATGTCATCCTGGCTCTCGTCAATGGGACCAAGCACATCCCCTACAAGTAAGCTGCCTCTTTTCATCTCTGACTGCAATCATGAGTGTGTCTAACTGGGAGGTTTTGGTGTGTCTGTGTGTGTGTGTGTGTGTCTCTTTGCACATGCGTCAGTCTACGCAGGCCTGTGTGTGTCAACATGTGTCTATATGTATGTGTGCCATTCAGCCCATCCTGCCTGCTCCTGATCTCTGAATCATGGTGTCTCACCGGGTACCATTCTCCTGCTATCTCCCCATAGCAATGAAAATGTCTCCTTTTCAGATCACCATCCAATTCCCTTTCGAAATCCTCGATTGAGCCTGACTCCCCCATATTCTCGGACAGTTCTTGGACCCTTAGCGCTCACTGCATGAGAAAGTTTCTTCCTCCTGTAGTTTTTGCTTCTTTTAGTAATTATTTTAAATGTGTTCTCTCTTGTTCTGGAACCTTACATGAACAGAAACATTTTCTCCCAACTTACTCTGTCTAGAACTCTCATGATTTTGAACATATCAATCAGACCTCCTCTCAACCTTCTCTTCTCCAGCTTCTCCAATCCATCCTCATTCCTAATATTCCTCGTTGCTGGAACCATTCTCATATACCTCTTCTGCACTGTCTCCAAAACATTCATTTGGGGACTGTCGGAGAATGCAGCAGAATATAGATAGATTGGAGAGTTGGGCGGAGAAATGGCAGATGGAGTTCAATCCAGGCAAATGCGAGGTGATGCATTTTGGAAGATCCAATTCAAGACCGAACTATACGGTAAATGGAAAAGCCCTGGGGAAAATTGATGCACAGAGAGATCTGGGTGTTCAGGTCACTGTATCCTGAAGGTGGCAACGCAGGTCGATAGAGTGGTCAAGAAGGCATACGGCATGCTTTCATTCATCGGACAGGGTATTGAGTACAAGAGTTGGCAGGTCACGTTACAGTTGTATAGGACTTTGGTTCGACCACATTTGGAATACTGCATACAGTTCTGGTCGCCACATTACCAAAAGGATGTGAATGCTTTGGGGAGAGTGCAGAGGAGGTTCACCAGGATGTTGCCTGGTATGGAGGGCACGAGCTATGAACTGAGGTTGAGTAGATTAGGATTATTTACATTAGAAAGACGGAGGTTGAGGGGGGACCTGATTGAGGTCTACAAAATCATGAGGTATAGACAGGGTGGATAGCAAGAAGCTTTTTCCCAGAGTGGGGGACTCAATTACTAGGGGTCACGATTTCAAGGTGAGAGGGGAAAAGTTTAAGGGAGATATGCGTGGAAAGTTCTTTACGCAGAGGGTGGTGGGTGCCTGGAACGCGTTGCCAGCGGAGGTGGTAGAGGCGGGCAGAATAGCGTTATTTAAGATGTATCTAGACAGATACATGAATGGGCAGGGAGCAGAGGGATACAGATCCTTGGAAAATAGGTGACAGGTTTAGATAGAGGATCAGGATCGGCGTAGGCTTGGAGGGCCGAAGGGCCTGTTCCTGTGCTGTAATTTTCTTTGTTCTTTGTTCTTTGTTCTTTGTTCTTTGTTCTTATTCACATCCTTCCTGATGTGTGGTGCCCAGAAATGGTCAGGCCAGCTGAGGCTAGGCTTGTGCCACATGTAAGTTTAGCATCACATCGTTGCTCCTGTACACTGCCTCCGTTTTATTACTAACTTACTAACCATTCTCTCAGTCTGTCCCCTGTCCTGATGCTGTTTAGAGTTGTAGTCCTTATTTTGTATGTCTGTCCATGTTCTTCCTACTAAAATGTATCACTCACACTTCTCTGCACTGAAAATCGTCTCCCACCTGTCTGTCCACTCCAACTTGTCAACGTTCTGTTGAAGTTCTGCACTGTCCTTTCCACAGTTTACAATGCTTCCAAATGTTGTTTCATCCCCAACGTTTGAAATTGGAGCAGAGGGAGACCCATGGGTGTTTGAAAAGGAGCAGTGTGCAGGGTAACGAGGAGATACTCATTCAGAGAGCTGGTGCTGTCACAACGGGCCAAATGGCCTCCTTCCACACTGTAACAATTCGGAGAGCCTGCGACAGCTCTCTCTGTCACTTCATCCAAAAACTCCAGCAAGTTAGTGAAACATCATTTCAATTTAATAAATCCACACACAATCTGCGTTCATGCCTGTGACTATTCTTTTTGCCCCAAATTATCATTTCTACAAGTTTCACAACTACCAAAGTTAATCTGGTACATAATTTATTATCTTCTGCTTACATCCTTTTTTGAATACGGGAATGTTTCACTTTCTTTAACTCTGGCACCACCCCAAGTCAAAGGAAGTCTGAAAAAGTATTGTCACTGTCTCTACAATTTCCGTGTTTACTTTCCACTGTATCTTTGGACGCATCTCCTAGTGCCTTGTCAACCTTAATCATGGACAGACTCTCCAATATGACCTCCTTACAAATTTTAAACCCTCCTAGTGACTGAATTTCATCCTCATTCACTGTGCCCATGATTCGGCATCTGTGAGCAAGTCTGTGTGTGCATTTGTGTGGCTGTGTGTATGGATGGCTGTATATCTGTGTGTGTGCGCGTCACTTTGTATGTGTGTGTCAGTGTATGGTTGTGTATGTGTGTCTGTGTGTGACAGTGTATGGCTTTATATGTGTGTCTGTGTATTGTATGGCGTGTGTGTGCGCGTGTCTGTACGTGCGCGCGCGTGTATGTATGTGTGTGCACGCGCGTGTATGTGTGTGTGTGTGTGTGTGTGTGTGAATGAGAGGCTATGTGTGCACTGATTTATATATATTTGTGTGTACTTATCTATATTTATATTTTTCAAGGGAGCTCCGAGTGGAAATAAAGTCAACAGGTCCGAGTAAAATAACCAGAACTTTGGGAATGGGATTAGACTAAAGTTTTTCCTGTAGCCTGTGAACTGTAAAGATTGGCAGTTAAACAATGAATGACCTTCCTCCCCATCAGCAGAGGCTTCATTTGAGAATGAGCATAGCTGACACAAGTCTGCATGTCCAATAACTGTATCTGGAAGGAGGATTGTGTGAATAACCTTAACAAATGATTCCCCGTAAATATCCTCCAGACTCCTTTAGAGAACAAGCCCATTCAGTGATGTGACCCGAGTATCAGTAAGTTATCCTTTCACAAACAATGATTAACGCCACAAGGTGATGACCATTTCACTCGAACTGCAGTCTCATGTTAATAGTGATTCCTTGTCTGTCCTCGATGTGGCAATTTAAAACTTCCCAGTTCTGCCAGGGAGCTTGCACATCTAGAAAGTCAGTTGTTGACAGCAATTCAACTGGGGAGCTCATCACATCACAGTCCATTTATCCCTACTCCACCTGCCACACCCAACCAGCACCATCACTGCGTCAAGATAGGATCACTTGGCTCCACACAGACCACAACGTAGAAATTCATTGAGGCACATCTGCAGGCTCAGACTCAATCCCCATGTTAGGCTCCAGTCTCTGAATGTTTAATGTACAAACTACATTTGCCAATGCCCACCTCCCACGGAGGAAACAGGAGAGGCCATTTGTAAAGGCTTAGAGTTGAGAGTGGGGAGAGGGGGACCAGGCTGGAGGGGTCGAATGGTCTACTCCTGGCTCCTAGTTTTGATGTTTCTGTATTTAGGATTGCAGTCAGGACCAAGTATTGGTCCCACTCACCAGCAACTGTCCTTACATTAACAACATAGTCAGAAATTACTGGGAAAAGCTCAGCAGGCCTGGAGAGAAAGCAGAGTGTCTGTTTCCACACTGTGGAATTCTATGAATCTTTAATGTTTTGAGTCTGGTGACTCTTCTTCAGAAATTCTTCTGTTCTGAGGAAGCATCACTGAACCCAAAACTTGAACTCTGATTTCTCTCCACAGATGCTGCCAGACCTGCTGAGCATTTCCCAGCAATTTCTGATTTCCAGCATCCACAGTTCACAGTTTTTTTTAATCTCTTCATTAAGTTCCTTCAATTTCAGAAGAAGAGATCTTTTGGGACAAAAGTGAAGGAAATTTTCTTGACTCAAGTGGTTCTGAATCTTTGGAATTCTGTACTCCAGCAGGGTGCAGAGTCACCATCATTGAAGATATTTAAAGCAGGAATGGACAGAGTTTTGGTCTCTCAGGGAATCAGTGGATATGATGAGCAGGTGGGAAGGTGGCTATGAGACAAAAGATGTAGCATGATCTTGTATTGAATGGCGAACCAGCCTTGAGGGCTGTACTGTCCACTCTTGCTCTCGTTTCTCATGGTCATCTCCATTTAACGTTAAAGAGGTGTGCTCCTGGTTTAAGCAGCTACCCGCAATGCCCATTTCTTTGAAACAGTCGGTGTGTTCAGTAATGGCTCAGTTAGTTCAAGTCCCATTCTGGAAAACCTCAGCACAAAGTTTGTGTCTGCGCTGTCCTCAGGGCCTTTTTTTCAGATTAGAAACACAGTGAGCCCCATCTGTATGTCTGGGGTAGATGTAAAAGATTGCACAGTGTCAATTTAAAGAACATCTGGTTAAAGAACCCAGCTGCTTCACTAATGCCCTTTAGGGAAGGAAACTGCCATCCTTACCTCGTCTGGCCTACATGTGACTCCAGACCCTCAACAATATGGTTGACTCTTAACTGCCCTCTGGGCAATTAGGGATGGGCAGTAAATGTTGCCGGTCAGCAACGTCCTCATCCCGTGAATGAATAGAGAGAAAAAACAGCAGCGTGGGGAGCTGCCCCCAGTGTCCTCTCCAGTACTTATCTCTTACTCAGCATCACGATTATCTGGACATTATCACATTGTTGTTTGTGGGGAAAATAAACCCCCTGCACTGATTAGGAACACCTCAGGCCCATGTTCGCATTCTCTTGTGTTGGAATCTCCAAGCTTTGCTCACTCCACTTGACAGCGTGGATTTAATGTGCTCCGGTTTGCATCCCATACATTCCCATCGGATCAGTAATTAGATTTATGTGTCCCGTCGCCCATTTAAAATCAACAGCACTTGACACTTTGTTCATCACTTGACCTTATTCCAATCAGTACCCTTTCTCCCTTAACCTGGCTGC